GGATGGGGAGACTGTGCTACTTGCCAGAGCCAAACTCCCAACCTCCTCTGCATGCGCTGGTAAGGGATGTGCAGATGTGTGTCTTTATATGCCCATATATAGTTTAGTAAAACTTCCCCAACAGTAACTCCCCACATTTCCTAAAAACCAGCTGGATCATGCAATGAAGACCTGGGTGGGGAGCGTGGGCGTGAAGAGACAAAAACTTCTGACACCCCTTTTTCAAAAGCAAACCACTACAGAAACAAGGTAGTCAGAGGCTGCTGGATGCAGCCAAAGTGATCATAGTGAATCCAGTTCTACACCACAAAAAAAGGCCCCCTCAAACATGTCAGCATTGCAAGCCTGAAGGGGAAAGTGGCTGCAAGTGAAAACAAAACTGACTCACCTATTTTCCTTGTTTAGCATGAGAAAAAAAAAATCAGAAGATAAACAACTACAGTAACTCTTCAAAAGCAAACTGGTTTTAAAACACTCTGTTTTCTATCCACCTTCAGTAAAGTGGAATTATCAGCCAAACAAAATTTACTTCACTTTTGAAGTGGGATTTTTAAGCTTGTAGGAACCCTCAAAACAGGAAGAGGTCAGATGGGACCTGTGCAACAGATACAGACCACTACCTGAAAAAAGGCTGAATATTATGAATATTCCACCTTCCTTACAGCACCAGCAGGTTGGTACATGCTGGTTTTATTTAAGTAACTTTTATCCTTCTGGAAATCATACTGCAAAGTGTTGAAAGAGATCTTGAAAGAGAGAGATGCATACAAATAAACTGGATAATGCCTCCCCAGCACTTGGCAAACTTTCACGGATGAGTCATGCATTATGGCTGTGTCAATCCAGGCTTTGTGTTAGTGATGGTGTTAGATCCTACCCACTCCAGATTCCAGTCACAGGGGATGAAGCTCAGACATATAATGGTTGATGTACGTCCTCCACTGTACAATGCACACTTACTGGTATATAAAAGGAGGGCTGTTCCTATCCAAATGCTGAGAGAATAGCTGAACTGGGCATCCAAATGGGAGCATCAGGAGTAGGCATGAAGAGATGAGGAGCTGGATCCCAATCCAGCAAAATAAATATTTAGAGTGCAGTAAACCCTGAGAAATCTTGAAAGAAGAATTGCTGGGACTAGATGGTTGATGGATTTCAGACCTAACAGTCCAAACCCATGTAGCTGAGGCTGCAGATCGATGGGCTCCTTCAAAGTCATCAACATTTTCTGTTCTTAAGACCATGATGCCTCTTGTTACCATCGGCTGGAGAGGGTAGGAGGGTGTCAGCTCTTCTAAATGTGGATGGAGCCTCAGGCAAATCCCACCATACTAGGTTCACCTCACTTGTACAGCATCCATCTGCACATTGGAGCATCAGCCCCGAACACCTTCCCCTGATGTGGGGAGAAGGTAGGAAGTCTATGGGCACCACAGAGAAAAATAATGGACAATAGAGGACAACAACCAAGAAAATGGGAATCAGAGCAGGGTCACATCCTGCCAGCGTTGGCCTCCTACAAAGAAATAGTCAGAAGCCCCGAATCTGGAGACAAACAATTCAAAACTATTCCCTCATGATCTTCCTTCTGGTTTTTGGTACTGCTTGAGGACAAAAGAAGGGAAAATCACCACATTTAGACAAGGTGATACAGGACAACTAACTCATGCAAAATGTTGCAGCCTGGATGGTAGCCCACACACTTTAGAGATTAGCTGAAGCTCTGAAATGCAATTTGAGTAACTTCCTTTGATGTGCCATCTGGTGAATAATTTACTGGGAATGTCTTAATTACATCAAAGGTATCTATCAATGTGCTCAGATTTTCTCAGTGTTTAGGACTCTGCCTGTATATTGCACTCAAGGAACAGACATATTAGTACAGAATTAAACTTTACTGCAGTGCTTTCTCCCACAGTAATAAAAAGAATCTGCAGCATATTACCACTATGGCCTCAAGCACCAGATTTTGGAAGTGCAATATTTCACTATTACCTCAAAAAGGCTGCTACTCTACAACCAGCCTTGCTCATGTTTCCAAAAATTTATAAAAATAGAAACACATCTGTGGCATAAAAAAAGTTTAGAGGCATATTTCCCAATTGAGAGAACATATTGGCAGGGTACTCTAACATCAATCACATGGATTTAGACCTAGAGAAGACTTAGACTTTAGATTTAGTAGACAATGAAGAAATTTTGTACAGTGAGGGTGGTGAGACACTGGCCCAGGTTCCCAGAGAGGTGCAGGATGCCCCATCCCTGGAAACATTCAAGGTCAGGTTGGACAGGACTCTGAGCAACCCAATCTAGTTGAAGATGTCCCTGCTCACTGCAGGGAAGCTGGACTAGATGGCATTTAAGGGTCAAACCAAACTATTCTGTATTCCTCATACTCCAAATGGAAATCCCATTATTACTGCTCCCCTCCCTAAATAATGAGACTAAATTAGGGTCATATTTAAAAGAAATAATAATAAAAAACCAAACCAAGCAAAGAAAGAAACAAACAAAAAATCCACAAAACTTTCTGACTTCTAAATATATATTTATATAAACCCAGAAGCAAAGCTAAATGCATGAAACTGATACAGTAACGTGGCTGCTTCACACCAATCTGAGGTGGACACCAGTGTCTGATTCACGCTGCTATACTGCATTTATTCCTTGTATGCTTGTATAGTTACAAGGGTTATTAAGATGGTTTGAATAATTGCATGATCCAGTGTGAGGGTCCAAAACTGAATGCTTTATTTGACAAACTTATCAAGGTAACTAAACATGCTGATCAATGCTTTGATGTATTGACTTAGAATGAACTAATAACAAAATTCCACAGCCTTACTTTTAACACCACAAGTGAGAATTCATTTTAGCAAGAAGACTCTTTTTTCAAGGCAATGTGTAGCTTTTTATATACCTGAAATGAAAAGTATGATTATACATGTCAAAATAATTTGGGCTACAAAGCTGGGCATTATAAAGGCATATGAAGGAGTCATAGCTGTTTAAACGTGCCTGGATATCTTTATAGTCAGTTTTAAGAAGCATATGAAAGTCTTGCTATTCAATTCAACCTGTAAAAACTTTGCTTTGTTGGACCTGTTTTTGTTGCATAAACCTAGAAAACTCTTTAAATCCAATCTGTATGTAAACACAATGCCTTTTATAGCTTTCACACTGATGTGGTCTTGTTTGCAACTTTCTAGTCCTTTTGTATCTCTGCAGTTTGTCAGTGGTGTATGGTGTGTAAGGGTAAAAGCAATGAGGCAAATATGTGTTTAAAGTGGTAACTTATTAAAAGCAGATGCTGTGAGCTTTCTTGGTATAACCTGATTTGATTATTCGCATGAAATTGTGCATGAACCTTTATATGAATTATTAGGGAATCTTTTCTTTTGCTGAAACAATTAGAAAACACAGGCAAACGTTATCTTAACAGCAAACCAAAACTTAATATTATGTGTTACACTAAGAGGTTCTGCTGCAAACACAAAAGGCAAGGTATTCGGTGATTTTTACTTCACAGTTTCTGGTCTGTTGCTGCTTGTTCGAGTTCACGTTCCGTGTGGTTTTTGAAGTCGATTTCATTTCTCATTTGCAGATATCGCAGGAATGTGGTAACAGTTCTTTTCCTTTTTGCTGAAAGCAGCTTGCCTGTTCAAGCATACATTCAGGGTTCTGATTTGTGAGACAAACTTAGACTTTTCCGGTTAATAACCTTATAAATTTACAATTTCATCTTTGACTTTTATTTGTAGGAGTATCTTAGAGGATGACAATATAAAGGCAGCTTGTAGGAGATTTACTTGGTTTCTAAACTATCTTTGAGGAAGGTAGCCTTTTTTTTTCTTTCCCCAGAGGTTTTGGGTTTGCCCCCCCTCCACAAAGGGCTGGTTAGAAGCTAGCTACTGATAAGGAAACTGAGTGACGTAAGGGCTTTCTGGTTGCAGTGCCATTCTTCCCCCATCCTATAGGGTAGGGAAACTCAAAGCAAGAGAGAAGAGGTTTTAGGATTTCTGTCCTCTCCCTCCGGACTGCAAGGCGAGATAATTTCTTTCCCCAATCAGAAGGTTGCAAAGTTGCAGTTTTTGTGTGAAGCAGGAGGGTTCTACCTTTCCCTTTCCTCAGAACAGGGGCAGAAAACGAGAGAATCTACTTCTCCCGAGAAATTGACAGTTCAAATTTTTCTGATTATGTAGTTTTCTCTGGCCGGAGAGATCCAAATCTCTCACCTGGTTACTAGGCAACAAATTACTCTTATTGTGTGACTACTAACATCTTATCTCTTACTTTGCTAACGCTGTCTGTAGCAGGAGGGTTACCTTTTTTTTTCTTTTTTCTCCTAACAGAAACTGTTTCTGTAGGGGCTTGTTTTCCTTTTGCCAAAACTCTGGGTTTTTTTGTTTAATACGATATTTTGGCAGAAGGTTTTCACAGGGGCAAATTACTACCAAGACCGATGCATTTCACTACAACTTTTAGCACAAAGACCCATTCCCCGGGAGAACCCCTTAAAGCTTTTTGCATACCCGTTTTTAGTAAAGGCAATTCTTTGGTTTTAAGTTACCCATAAGTGATTAAAAGGACTGAAGAGTGAGAGATTTTGCTTTTCTTTCCTGATCACTTACGCACGGGAAATCCCCCCCGGGCTGGTCCCCCTTGCCGCCCTCACCCTCGGAGATGGAGAGGCAGGTCCGGGTCCGTGCTGGGTGGCTCGGAGTTGCTGAGGGAGCCGGTCTCGTAGTTCTCTTGGTCTGCAAGCGAGTTCGCGGGCTGGGCGGCGTGTCGGAGACGGCCTCATGTTGTTTAAGGAGGCATTTTATCGCTTCGTAAACTCTCTTTTGCTCTGAGGACACGTTTAGACCCCATTCCCTGAGCAGTTTTTGTTCTGGGCAGGTATTTCTCCCGTCTTTTTTGTTTCGGCGCTATTTGCTTACCCTGGTTCCTTAAAGCAGCCTTGTTTCGATCTAGAGGCTCTCTTACCTCCGGGCACTTACCCAGCGTTATTCCTGCAACCGCGTACCTCCTGTCCAGCAGAGAGGACCTGTACCGCTTTTCTTCCCGTTTGGTTGCGAACAGTCCTGAAGCAGGACCTCCTTTCCATCCTTGCCTCTATTCCCGTTCAGGCCCCATTTAAGACGGTTTCAATAATTTCTCGGGGGTGAGGGAAAACCCGGACTGGATTTGTCTGGAGTACGGAATGAGGAAAAACCCGGACTGGA